CGAAAAATGGTCATATATACGGCCAAATATGTGTTCCTTCGTGTTTTTCCAAATATTTTATCGACAACATACGGGTTTTATACGGCCAAATACGGGAAACTAAGGCAACTTACTACCGACAAAAACAAGCTTACGGGTAAGCACGGGCCAAATGTGCCTTTTCACCGGCCAACAAGTGGCGTTTCGGGGCTGTAGTTGCCAGGACCCTCAAAATTCCCTTACAAATTCACCCATTCCCTTTTTTAAGGGTGATTTGAGGGTCCAGATGGTTCTTTTTTGGGCGACCCACTCCATCGGAAGTGAGCCTCACCCCTTGTCTCCCAACCTCGAAACCTCCAGGAGGCCCGGCAGAGCGGCGACGAAGTGAAGCTCCGCGAGGCGCTCCAAGGCACCGCTCCTTGGCCTTGGGGAGATGTGGCCGTTGAAGAGAAACGGGGGCAAATGCAAGGACCGTTACGGCCCCAAAACTCAAACTGCCCGTGACAGGCTGTGCCCGAAACCCTTTGATCGTTGCTACAACAAAGATAGACTTCCAATATGCCCCGAAAAAAGGAACATGCTTGGTTGGTGCTCAATGAAAGGTTGTCTTTGGAGTCGTGCCTTCATTGGTCGACCCCTCCATATCCCTCCATTCAAGCGGCCCAGATCTCGCCAATTGGTGTATTGCCGCACATCTGGAGTTCTCCCAAAATAGTTGCCCGATTCCGTAAACCACATTCAGCCCCCCAAAATCGAAAATCGCTCTGGGATATCCATTTCAAGCGCCGCGTTTGGCTGACATTAAATTTAGAAAGGGTTAAACCAGTCCCAAGTTTCAAACAGGAAACTTGACTGCTATTGGGTTGGATCTTTATAATTGGGAAATCAAGGTGTTTTCCAGTAAACCCCCATTTTTTTGTTTTCAGTGGTACACTTTTAGGGGGTCGTTGCAAACCAGTAAACACCTTGACCAAGTTTGATCCTTGGCGTCCTCAGCGCCGCCATCCGTCCGAGGACGGGGCCAAGGACGCGGTCGTGGCCCAAAGCTTCGGGCAGACCAAGGCGGTGCTGAGGGCCCTCCTCGTGGAGCAAGAGCTGAAGAGCCACTCGGAACCCCTCAAGGCCGTAGAATGCCTTCAAGCCACTCAGTTGCCCAAAGCGAATCGACCTGAAATTGAAATGACCTCTTCTTCTTTTTTTTGGAATCCAATTTTCATTTTTAGTAGAGGTACCAAAAGGTTAACTTTTTATTTCGAACTCCTTTGGGCAAGGTACCCATCATAAACAACCCCAAAGCTCAGAAAAACCAAAAGGTGGTCTACATTGGTAAATGGAAGCACTTGGTTTCCTTCCATTTGCTGAAATGATATGTTTTATTCCCCTGTTTGTTGTCAAGTTGGAACTTATCACTGCTGGAAATATGTTTAGTTTTTCCAGGGGTCTTAACCAAATGGAAGATACCCCCAAATCGACACACACACACACATCCATTGGCCCAAAGCTCACCTGAGTTCCGCTTCGGGCTCCAGTATCCTTTTGGGTTTGGACCATTTTGGCGGTAAACTAAAAGTTCAGACTTTGTTTGGCCAATCCGGTCCCTGTCTGTGTTACCAGATTTCCCAACAAACGATTCTGCATTTCGAGGCCGTCGGGTCGATTTGGGCGCCAGGCCCAGGAATGAGCAAGACATCTCAGGTGTGGGTTGGGATGAAAAACAAACTCCTAGTACGTGCAACGGAAGTGAGAAAAGGAAACCTTGGTTTGATACCGATATACCCCACGCTCACACATACCCGTTAGCTCTTGAATATGGAGCTGTCTTTCCTGTGGTCGGACCCTCCAACCGCTCCAAATTAATTTGCAGTTTTCAGCTGTTGGTTACAAATTAAAACGACAGCTCGATTTTCTGTTGGTGTTTATAGGTCGGGATGCTGTATTTTGTGCTGGCATTATTTGAAGGATGTCCGCCCAATCGTGCCCACCATGTTGAGACAAGGTGCCAGTATGCGTTTCCAAGGCAACTAAGGTAGTTTGGGTGCGATACTCGTTAGGCCGTGAAGTGTTTTTTAGTTGGCCATCATGTTTGGTCCTTCTTCAAATCCGAACGGGGCTCATTCCACTTTCTTTCTTTAAAAACAAGTGCTACACTGGCAACGAATCCTCGAAATTCCGTCCATGGCCAAACTTGGCGCTTTTGGGTTGTCGCTGGCTTTCGCTGGCCCATCGCAGCTCCTTGCAAGGTGTCCGCTGACCCCATTGAGAAAAGCGAAAAGCTGGATCAAACATCGACATACCCAGGATGGTTTCGGTTTCGGTGTGGTTCCCTTTACCCCCCCGAAAGGCATACCAAAAAAGGGTATATATAAAACAACCCCCCCCCCTCGCTTGTGCCTGGGGGCCGCAAACCGAGGTCTGAGCAAGGTCATCGACAGCGGGGATGAGACGGAGCTCAGGGACGCCATTCAGGCGGAACCCAGTGGAATTGTAAACGATTCGTAGAACCCAGAGGCTCCCGATTGATTTAGGGCCTTCAAACAACCTGGTTTTGAGGCCCCGGACCACCTCCGGTGTCTAATGGAGAGGTTGGGTCTTCCGTTGAATCCCCAAAAGCCTTTGGGAATACAAAATGTTCAACGTTTCAACGAGAAGGGAAAATTCAAGAGTGGTAGTTTTTAATATGCCGTAGTTCTTCAATCCTGGGAAATCAAGTGAATTTTAAAGTATGCCGTAGTTCTGGCCCACTTTCCCACCGGGACCGCTCCTTATGCTCCTTGTTTCCATCGGCACCTAGCGATGCGTTCATGGCACTGAGGGAGCTGCAATCGCGCGGTGCTGGTCCCTCTTTGTGGTGAGGCTATAGGGATATGTTGCACGCCCAGAACCCGTACCAAGAACCCCTAGAAAGGTAAGAAGATTCCTTGGTGAGGGCTCGGAGTCTGGACTTCTCTGAAGTTGTGTCGCTGCCCTTCCGGCAGCCGGAAGCAAGCGCTGCCCGGGAAATGGGCCCCAGAGGTTAAACCCACTCGCCAATTCAGAGTTTGCGGGTTGGGCCTCGGTGGCGATTGCGTCTGATCGGTGTCTTTATCTTAATATGTGCGGGACTGTGTGCAATGCAGACGTTTTCATTGCGCCAGTTGGAGTATTGGTGGCGCATGTTGGGGCAAGGTCTCGAGATGTCTCGAGCATCAGAAGGCGTCAGCTGGTTGGAAACCCGCCCGTGCAAGACTTCTTGCGACCGTCCGCTTGGCTCAGGCAGCCCGCGAGGTCTTGCCGGAGGGTGAGCTGCAAAGAGCGGAGGACCACCTGTTTGGTCTGGCGAGGGGGGTGGGCACGGGTCCTCATCGCATGTTACGGGCGGACATGAATCCGGAGGCGCTGTTTCTGATGTCTGCAGGGTCAATTCGCTCAAATTCGTACCCAGTCCTCATCGTTCAGTGACTCTTTGTTTGCCCTTTTGGTTTGATGGCTTGCCTATAAGCATAGAATCATCCCCACAAAGCAAAGGTAAAAGTATTTCCCCAGTTGAAGCTTGGAAGGGGGTCACCCTTTGTGGGAAGACTTAATGCACGGAGTTGTTGCAGCCCGGACCTGCACAAGCGTCAGCTTGGGCTCCTGGAAGTCCTCTTAAAGTCGTTTCAGCAGGCGAAGCGGAAGCATAGCTTGGTGGCTCCCATCCCCTTGGCTTCTTAGCCTTTTGGGGTGTGGTAGTTTCCGTATTTAACCCACCAAAAGTTTTTAAGTTTGGGCGGGGGATCTGATGGCAGCCCAGGTAGGGGGCCACCAAGGCCTGTTATGGGGCCTAAGTTATGGGGGGTCTCTCTGGTTGGGTTGAGACACTCCCGTATGGTCATTTGTACCCTTCATTCCACGGAGTTTTGAGACCCTACCCATACCCCTATAAATCATGGACGCTCAGGGTCACGTATCCACCCAGTTGACCCTCTTGCCCGCCTTTGCTGTGAATGGCCATGTAGCCCTCTAAATTGTGAAAGCATGCTTTCTGTGCCAAGTGTTCGACCCAGGCACAGGGCAAGCCCTTCGCCCGAGTACCTTCTGCGCCCAGCCTTTAGGGCTACAACCCCCCAGATTGTCAAAGCAGATCTCTGCCCATTTCCCCCCAGGAGAGCCGGGCCCTTCTTCGGCCGCGTGGCGTATTTTTTTCTCTCGCCCAGGAGGCGCTGTGCAAGTTGGTGCAGGGCCGCGAGCTGAAGAACTTGCGGAGCGCCTCCACCGGGGATGACGTCACGCAGCTCCGCATCGCCATCAAGGAGGCGCGCTCGCGGCCGCCGCGGCCGAGGGGTGTGGTGGGAACAGGCGGAATAGGGAGGGGGGAGGGGGCGCCCAGACTAGGTCCCCCAGTAGTGCCCTGAAAAAACCTTTTATGGGGGAGCGTCGGTCCAATCCCTGATTTCAGTTTGCTTGGTAAAGAAGAAAGCAGATGAATCTGCCTATTTTGTAGCGAGCTCACCTGGGGGTATAACGAGCTTATATCCTTTACTTGGGGATCCCTTAGTTCAGCTTTTGGAATTATAGTAAGAATTGCAGATTAACACTTGGCCCTTTAGGGTGAAACATTCTGAGGGGTAAAACAATGTCGAGCCGTCAAACTGGTGGATTGTTAGCCCTTTTGCCCTCCTCAAACGCGAAGGCTTTCCACTAACACAATTGAATCCATTGTCTCCTGTTCCCGCCAGGCGCGCAAGGCGGATGTGCCGCCGGAGAAAGTGGAGCAGGCGCAGGCGCCAGAGACGTAAACCACACGCGGCGAGCGATGGGAGATTTGGAGACTCGGAGTTGGGGATCTTTGTTCGATGAGTGAACAAGTTTTAAGTCCATGAACTCAGGGAGTGAGCCTACGGGGAACCCATTGGATTCTTTTCGGGGAGACAGGGTTGGGCTAGCATGTTTGGGGCGGAGGTGTAGGCTTGGTGTGTAAGTGTATACGGGAAAAAGGCGAGACAAGTTGACGCCACCAACGTGCAGTGTCGAGCCCGTTCCTGCCGGCATGACTTTTCGGGAGCCATGGTTGAGTGAGATTCTCCCAGGTAACGGTAGCCATTCCCAGCAAGGAAGCTCTGGAAAGGTCAGCTTTTGCCCACTCAAAGCACAACTGACTGGATTCTGGTCCATGTGGTGAGTCTTGAAGTGTGCCCCATTAACATGGAGCCCGACAGGGGGGGTCCTGCGTGGAAGACCATTTTCCTTTTAGCAGGATCCCCGAACGTCGAACGGTTCCATGTTAATTGGTGGGAGAATGCAAGCCAACTTGAGAAAGGATCCCTGCTTGGATTCTGGTCCATATATGTAGTGAGGGTAGACGATTTTAGTGGTAAGTAAAAAGTTCACACCAGCATGAGAGGGACATTCTACAAGAAAGCCTTGGGTTCCGACCCTCCCGATCGGAAGTGATCTCGCGCCGCAATTCGCAGGACGCCTTGAACGAGATGATCCTAGCGCAAGAGCTCAAAGCTTTGCAACTCGCGGACAAGTTGACTGGTCTCTGAGCGAGAGAACATGGCTGTGTCGTTAAGATGTTTTTTCCCCCTGCTGTTTTTGTTTAAGGGGAATTTATCTCTACTGGCAATATTTATTGGTTTCAGGGACTTAAGCAAATGGAAGTCAGGGGACCCTTCCCCCCCAAACAAAAAAGTGGCTTCCAGTTGGCTTTCTAAACCACCGAAAGGGAGGGAAAGGGAGGTACCAACTGGAAAAAGACGAGCCAGTGGTTGGTTACCCTCATTTAGCCTTGGGCAAAAAGGGGTTCCGGAGGCAGAACCTGGCCGTTCGAAAAAATGCGCACTGACTCATCGAGCCCAAGACGAACCCCTACAAAGGACCATTTGAGGGGGGGGGGGTCGAAGTGTGAAAAGATGGTTGACGCATAGGAGAAGCACATAGAGTTCAATCCTTCATACTGTGTTTGGATTGTTTGCTGCTTTGGGATTTGAGCCCGGGCTCTTGTGAGTACATAGAAAGCCGGAACAGCTCCAAAGCTCCAAACCAACAGCCCGATAACACATATTTCCTCAGCACCCCCCAAACAACTGCTTCCTTCCCATGTCCAACCTCCCTTTGGTGCGTGTCCTTTTAAAAGAATCCGGTGCTTGGGACAAATTCGGGTGCCGGCGAGAAACCACGTTAGGACGGAGGCCATCAAAAGCGGAGACGAGCTGCAGCTGCGGGAGGCCATCAGTGATGCCTCCAAGGCCCGGGCCCCGCCGATTCCTTCGGAGTCCAAAACCTCCAAAAACGCAGAGGTCACCACAGAGCTTCGTGGCGCTTTTTTGGGCTGGGTCCCTGAAGCAAAATTTGTGCAACCAACCAAAAAATGGCTACGAATTTCAACTGGGAACGAGCTCCAAAATGGCTGGTGGAAATGAATGCCTGAATGGCCACCAGGCCGTGGGTCAAAACCGTTTTGGGATCTTATTTTGGTTGGTACTTTTGACCCATAGCCACGGACCTTGATGGCTCTTTGGTATGAGTCGGTCAGGCCGTCATTGGATTTCCTGAAACCCACCCAAATCAGAAGATGATGAACATTTACTGGCGGCTTCTCTTCTTTATGGCTATTTGGTAACGGGTCTTTGGACTTTGACTTTTTGCTGCAAAACACGTGATCTGCCGAATTGGACCCTCAAAAAGGGGGTCAACAGCAACCAAGAGACGTGCCGAGGATATAACTTCCGCTTTTGTTGGTTTAACCACAAGAAAGCTGCACTGCATGGATCTGTTTTCCCCCCTTTTTATGGCTTCGACATGGCCTTGAAGGGTAAATACCTCTGAGCCTTTGAAGAAGGTGACCAAAGCACACGGGTTGATCCTTTGGCCCAAACTTTGTACCCTTGTCACAAGGTCTCCAGCAAATGAAGCAAGCGAAACAAGCAAGCTGGGCCAATCTGAGCTGGAAACCCCACTACCCCTCAAACCAGCCGTTTTGGATCCCTGGTTTCGGACACGTCTTGCAACCATAGGTGTGCTTTTTGGTAGTTTTGGTCGAAAAAATCGATGGCGAGTCCTGGCTTACCTGGTGGTTTCTTCTCATCTACCAGGGCCATTTTTTTGCCCTAATAGGCTACCTATGCTTGCAACTTTTCCCTCGACGAATCCGCTGGCGACGGGCCAAAGTGTGACACCCCAAAAGGTGCGATCGGTGCGAGACATGCAGGGAATGAGACATGGAATGACTTAGATATACTCACTTCCTGAGTTCATGAACTTTAAACTTTTTGGGAAGACCATTTTAGTGGTAAATATAAAGTTTGGACTTTTTTGGGCCATCCACTCAGCCAGTGAGTATAAACCATCCAACTGGTGATTTCCTCTAAGAGCACCAAAGCCTGAGTTCATTCCAACTCATTCCCTACCTATCGCACGGATCGCAAGTTTCCTGTCCAAAGGATATGGGTGTTTTTTGGGGGTTTAGACCCCACTGTCGGTTACTCATAGAGAGGCAACTGCAACGCTGGTCATGGCAGGCTGATGTGCCGGTGGAGGAGGTGGAGCGAGCGCAGCAGTTCCTCCAGAGGAGGGGCCCTGCTGAACATGGCCACCTCCCCAAAACATGTGCTACTAGTAGCTGGTTTCGTGGGCCCAAGACTTGACTGCTATTGGGCAACGGATGGTTGGATCATGTTGACTTTAACTTTTGGGAAATAAAGTCGTAGTTTCCACTAAACCCCAAGAAAGTTATTCACTTTTTGCAGGGGGGTCAACAGCAGCCAAGAAAAAAGGGTGTGGTGTTTTTCTATCAGGCTCACCAGGCTTACCAGGAAACGGCCAACGTTTTACAGAAAGTGATGATGGGGCAAAGAAGTTTGGTAGGGCTCACGGGCCTTTAGGGCTCACGGAGAATTCCGGGTATTCCAGAACTCTGCTTTGGAGAGATCCGCCTTCATCCAGATTCTCCTCCTTTGAGAAGGGGTCTCGGCAAGAAGCACGAAGGCAAAGTTTGTCCTCACTTGCCCCACTCGGAATCGTAGTTCCTTTCGGTTGTCCGAATTGGTCCACGTTGAGCCCAGCCCCCGAAAGTTTACCAGTTGAGGCCAGGGGCCATGCAATGTTTGTACGTATGTGTTGGGGTCATGTAAGCGCACCGCTTCAAATTCCAAAGCGTGCTTGTAGCTTGGTAGTTCTCAGCTGTCCCCTCACTGGGCAAAGAAAGAAACATGGACACTGGACATATTGTTTTCCCCACGGGGCAAAGACGGAAAAATGGAAGACACCCAAGTGAGACTCGGCTCAGGATCACCTTGCGGCGCAAGATCGACCTCTTGGAGAAGGCCATCGAGAGCAAAGACGAGGACGGCGCCTGGCTCCGGGGGCCCGGAACGAAGGAAGCAGGCAGCTTCCAACTCATTCTGCCGATTTTATGGCGAGCTCAGCCTGGGGTAGATGGAGCTTACTGTTTGCAGCTTTTGGAATTGGAGTAAGTCTTGCAGCTTCTTCTTTTTTTTGCGCGTGGGACACGTCGTACTTTTTTCTGGGGTGACGAATGGCGACAGCACTCCAACACATCAGGGAGTTTCGGTGGCGCTGGATTTAAGGGCCCGAGCCGTTTGTGGGATGATAAACCTAAATGAATCTTGCCCAACAAAGCGTCGTAACGAGACACCGCCCTTGGCTCTTCCTTGTTCAACGGCCAGAGATGTTCATGTTCAGTTGGTGCGTGGGAAATGCGTCATTTCTCACAAGTTAAAGGTAACGATCACACCAAATGGATCCAAATTGCCAAGGACGGGCTTAAGCTTCGCTGGCGAGCGGTTTGATTGCCTCAGGGGTGTAAACCCAGCACAACACCCTTCAAGGGTACGAACAGCAAGAGTGAGTGTCGGGAGGCACCGAGCAGGAGCTACCTAAAGCCGGAGTTCTCCTCGCTTCGCGCAGTTTGGTTGTAAATAGGATTACGACCCCACCCCGAAGCATTGAAAACTTTTAGAAAGAATTGGTATTGAATTGCACCCTTAGGGCTTGTAGAGGGTAGATGGATTTGAAACCCCTCCGTGCCCACCACTCCACCGGGCTCCAAACCACCAATTAGAGCTTCCATTTGCTGAAATGAGTATGTCATATTTTGCCCGGTTGGTTTCAAAGGGAGTCGATTTCACGACTGGACATCGTATCTCAGTTGTTCTAAGCTTATATAGTCGCCGATCTCCCCGAACTAGTGGTTTGGTTTGGTGGTTTGGACGGGGCCCGGGGTATCTTCCCATTTGGTTTCAAGAGGTTCTGGGCTCTGGGGTTCAACCCACCGGGCGCCACCAAACCCAACGAGGCGGAAGGTTTAGCTGGCCGGAAGGACGCATTTCAGCATCGGTTCTCTTTTCTTCCAGGGGCTACCTGACAGTGGTTTCAAAAACTTCTGGGGTTCAAACTCCCAACTGCAAACCACCGCTCCCAAACCCACCCAAAGGCGGGAAGCCGAGATTGGGCCAAATTTTAGCAGGTGGAAGGAACCATTTCAGTGAGAAACTGCATCCCTCCTGCCCCCCTCCCCTCCCCTCCCCCCTCCCCTCCCCTCCCCGCTCCCCTCCCCCCGTCGCCCCTCCCCCCCCAAGCCTCTCGAGAGGAGCAGCTGCGGGAGGGCATCTCTGCGGCCTGGAAGTCCAACTTGCCGGACGACGACGCGGAGGTGGCCCGGGCCACCGATGTGCTGGGCCCGGGGCCCTGGGGCCCCTGATTTCGGGCGGTTTGGGGGGGGGGTTGGGGTGGGGCGGGGGTTGGGCGGGGTGGGGGGGTGAGGGGTGGAGGGGGGGGGTGGCGTGGGGGCTGGCGTCCGGATTTAGTGGGAATTCATCGAAAGAACGCAAAAATAAGAAAGAGGACGGGTTCTACTTCGATCCGGGGTCAACGTTAAGTGGGGGGTTTTGTATGAGTTTAGAACTCTCATGGCCGAACACAGGCCAAGCAGGGTCGCGGGGCTAAGGGTTCCCACCCAATCTGCTTTTGCGGGAGCCGTTTTGTGTAAGTTTGTCTTCGGAGGAGGGTGTGTTCTTTAGGCGGGTTAGCTGTTCCCGTTCTTTGCTTGTTGTCTTGTGTTTTGATTTTCTGTTTTGACATGCCGAGGAAACGTTAGAAGCCGATCGAGCATTTATGGTCAACAAACAACTGGAAAGCCATGGAAAGTCATGCAAGGCAGTTTCCCCATTTGCAATTGCCATATAACCCCTGCAGGGGTTATAAATAAACAATCACCGTGACGTGCCGAAGGTTCGAATGGCATGCCGCAAGGTTATGTAACACCCTCGAGGGCAGCAACCATGGATTCCAATCTTGAAACATGCCAGCCCAAATGGTTTCCCATTGGGGGGGAAACATGCTCACCATGATGGGTCCTTTGCTTGGGATACCTTATTGTGACTTTGAATCAGGACCATCAGGACCCTTTGGTGGACGCGTGTTGACGCTATTTACACAGGATTTCATGCCCACACGAGGGGGTTTACTGCTCAACAGTCACCATGTCAGGTGTTGAAGTTCTTGTAGAACGACCTTAGGTCCAAAGACTCGACTACTATTGGGTTGGATCTTTAGACTTTTACTTTTGGAAAATAACGGTATTTTCCACTAAACCCCCAAAAAGTTAAACTTTTTGCAGGGGGGTCAACAGCAACCAAGAAGAGGTGGTTAAAATCGGGCGGGCAAGGTCCCGTGGCAGACGCATTCTCCCAGCTCCCCAGGTGGCGCTCAAGCGGCCTTAAAGGAGATCATTCTGGGCAAGGTGCGCTGCGATCGGCTTGTGGATTGACGCATGACGGACCCGTCATATTTCTCAAAGGGGCTCCATTCCCTAAAATGGTTGGCTTCCTTTTGATTTCCTGTTGAAGGCCAAGCAGAAGGGGTCCACCATTTCGAGAAACTCGCTCATGAATTTCGTAACCTTTTTGGCAGCTGGTTCCCCGTGTTATTTTGGGGCACGAGACTAGCCACGCCTCGCTTGCCCAATTCGAATCAACATTTTGACCTTTTACTTTCCCGGTCCATTTTAGTCATGGAGCATGGAGCCCGAAAGGGGGGGTTCCCCAAAACGCCCAAAAGGAGTTTCCTCTGCAAATGGCGGGTTTTGTGGCTTCCTTGTTATTCCGTAGGGGGGTGACCTAATATTTCTGGATCCAACTTGTGCAACTGAGAATTTCAGGTTTGTGAAGTTCGCTTGGGTTGTTTGGAAACCTGTCCCCCCCCCCCCACGCACGTGAAATCCGAGGAGGGATGAATTTCACCTGCCCAAAGCGAACTGACCTCTTGTTGGCAAACCTATGTAAACATGATCAGTCACCACAGCAGTTTTGTGAATCTTTTGTGTAGTGTGTCGTTTGGCCAAGTGAGCAGACGAATCCAACATGAGCAGTGCCCAAAACCCATCCCCCTTGGTTCATAGCAGTTAAAAGCACCCCCAGCTACTGCTTTCTCCCACGTCCCAAAAGTCAAGTACTGCCCAAAAGGAAGTGGTTGGGGGCTGCTGGAAAATGGGTTGTTTCCTATTGGTGTCCCTTTAAAACCACCCGAAAGGGGGTCCACCATTTTGCAAAAAGCATGTAACCCTTCGCAACAATCGTGGTAAGAGCCAAACAGCAATAGGTTTGAGCGCTGCGCGCTTGGGTAACGTGTTCCGATTGGATCCCTCAGGAGCTCAAGCAGTTGCAGGAGGCGGTGGCAACTGGCGAGGAGGACCGAAGGGGCATAGGTCAAGTTGGCACACAGCAGTCAGGCTTCGCTAAATTTCCTTTTTTCTTCTTTGTTGCATTTTGCTTGGCTGTCAGGACTTTAACTTTTTGCCAACTCATGGGTTTTCCATTAACCCACTAAAAGCTAAACTTTGAGCCGGGGAGCAGAAAGCAACCAAGGTTTGTTTTGTGGTTTGAAACAGCACCTTTGGTGGGGTGATGTTAAAAAATGGAATATTTGGAGCCCTGTGAGTTTTAGATGCTTACCTCCAAAAACCACACCTGCAAATGTCACAAGGGGAGACCAGGAGAAGAAACGCCCATTCATTCATTTGCGCGTGCATTCTTTTGTTTCGGGGGGCTCCTCCAATTTTGAGGTTGCTGCATTGCTTCAAATGCACACGGATCTAAGATGGTTTCCATTGCTCCCAAAACACTACCCCAGGGTTTCTATGGGATATATAGCCTGTATAGAACCACAATATATCAGGTAGTGGATTGGGTGAAGTGAAAACCACCCATGAACCCCCAATAGAGTTTCGGCCACACTACAAGGGTAGAACAAAGCATTTCGTGGTCCCACGGTTTCGGTTCGGGCTAACTTTCAACCCCCGAGTGGAATGGATAATTCTGAAACGGGACTCGAGTTGTCTGTGGCAAGTGCTCAAGCTGGATGCGGCGTTCTGTGGCCGTGCGCCTCGTTGCACTGGCCGGGCTGATGTTCGCGGCCTGCCGGGGGGCGACCATGGCAACTCCCAGCTGCAAGAATGCCATCATCAACGTGGAGGCGGGTCGCCGTCCGCCATGCGCACCGGAGCCCCATAGGATGGAGGGATTCCCACGTCCGCACCCACGAGGATCTCCGTTTTGTTTCTTGCCCTGTACTGGCCCAAAGCGAATCGCCCGGTTGACCAAGTCAGGTTTTCGTGAGTTTGTTCATACTTGGTCAAGGTTCACCTTTTAGTTGCAGGCAGGCCTCTTGGGCAAGTTCCAGGCCCTTTGGGCAAGTTCCAGGCCCTTTGGGCAAGTGAGTTCATCATCCCTGTACCCTAAAACTATGGGCTGTTTTTGGGTTGGTAATTTGAGAGAGAGCTTTTTCTTCACCCATGAGACTCCTTTGAACACCCAGTTGTGACATTTTCCTAGCCACCAATTCCCTGAAGTTGCTCAATCGATCGGCTGTTTGTCACTTGTTTTTCCCTTTTCTTCCGGATGTGCAGCCCCAGCTTTTGCCGATGGTTCTTCTGGTTTTCAGGGCTTTCCCATGCTTTCCCCCTTGCCCCCCAAAAAAACGTCCGAGGCCATGCGTTTTCCCTTCGAGTGCGAGTCGCCCTTCCTCTTCGCGGTGTACCACCTGGATCGATACCCCGCCGGCACCAAGGAGATGGCACCGGACCCGAGGGCCCGGCGCTCCAAGGATCGCGGGTGGTTCGGGAGCCATGGATCGCCGGCCGGTGGGCCGGCGCACTTGCGGTTTCCTTAGCTGGTGGTTGGGGAAGGGGAGCGTTTTGACCAGGAAGTCTGTAAGGACGTGGTAGGTTGCTCTCCTCGAAGTCTTTCCTTTTTGCTTTACCCACCTCACCTTTGTGGTTTTGCCTTGGCCCAGTGCAGGTTCCAAAAGGTGATCACCTTTTATTCACCACTGGTGGGAACCTTTGGTTTCCTCGTTCCCTTCTGGTTGGGCTGGTGGATGAAGCCTCAATTGTTCAGAACCGATCTCAACTTGTGGCCTTTCCTTTTTTATTTGGCATCCACTGAGAAGGAGGTCCCGAAAGGTGATCACCTGCTATTTCGACCTGAGAATCTGTACCAAAATGGTTTATAATGTACAAGGGCACCTCAGGCACAAATGGACTTGCAAGGGCTGGCAGGTTTGCTTTGGTTTCCTTTGGTTTCCTTTGGTTTCCTTTGGTTTCCTTTGGTTTGATTTCTGACGCCGAGAATATCAGTTTGATTTATCACAATTGCTGTAATCGTTTGTAGGGGAGTGGAGTGTCTCAAAATGATGAGCCCTCTCAAGAGTCTCAAGAGTCTGAAGAGTTTAACCGATTCCTATTTTGTGATTCACCCACAAGGTCGGAAGATCGGTGTTGAGGCCTTCGGTTTTCCATTATCCTCAACAACAATCCTGCAAATGTGCAGAGAATCGGGTTTGCAATTTTGGAGGAGCCTTTGGGTTGGTTTAAAGGGAGACCAAAAGGCAACCCCGCAATTTCGAAGGCCCCAACAAGACCAAACAAGACCTCTTGTTGTCCTTTTCTGCCGCCCTTGCGCTGATGGTGTCTCTGGAGCACCCCTGAAGGAGTGGAACATGTACCATGGGGATACCATCCCAGGCGCGGAACGGGACTGAGGCCAATTGTGTTTTGAGCAGAAGTCTGGTTTCACAAGCTTGCCCCCAAGTTGGGATTTATTAAATCGATTTTCCCATGTTCTTGGGCCAAACATGTATAAACCCTTCTAGTTGATGTGCCATACCCCAGCCAGTGCTCGCTTTAGCTTTCTAAACCGAACCTTACCACTAAACCACAAGCAAAAAAGTGGATTTGGATTTCAACCACTAAACCACAAGCAAAAAAGTGGATTTGGATTTCAACCACTAAACCACAATTTGGATTAGCTCACTTTTGGGCCATGCCAAGCGTTTAAACCCTATGTCCAAAGCGGCTTTTACGTGGTGGACCCGTGCTTGGCGGGGGGGGAAAGCCATGAGGTTCGGAGATGAGAGGCGAGTCAAACCCCTTTCAGGGACCCAATTCCTCCTCAAAGATGGCAATCCAAGTCCACTTTTTTGCTTTGTTGTGGTTTAGTGGCTGAAATCCAAATCCACTTAACTGCTAAACTAATATGTTTGCTCCCCTTACGTCAACCTAGCAAAGACCCGAGCACTTCAGGGGGCGAAGAAGTCAACCTAAGGCTCCTCAGCGAAGTCGGATATGAGGGCCTAGGCTCAACAAGCCTGACGGAGACAATGCCAAAGGCCATCCTGGTGTTTGCGGTTTTACCTGGCCAGGGGAGTAAACGCGAAAGGACTTAGGGGGTCGGCACAGCCCCGGAACCGACCTTTTGGTGGCAATGCAGGGTTTTGTTTCAGTGCGAGAGCCGGATGCTTGCCTGGGGTAGACTTTGGATACATTTTACATTTTAGCAGTGACTCAAAGGGAAGCAAAAAATAGAGCATTCTATAACTGGGCCTAAGTCTAATCTTGTTGTATCAGTGATTTCCCACAGCCACAGAGATGACCTCCCTCCCGAAGCTGCAGAAAGGTGGACTCAGGTTCTTTTGGGGAACCTGAGCGGGTTCTAGCAAGTCGCTTGCACAGCACAATCATGTGCCTTTTTACATTTGATTCTGGAACCCAGTTCCAAATGGGAGCTTATCTCACAACCCCAGGTAAGGGACCGGCCAAACACGCCCTCTTGGGAAGTGTTGGGGGGTGGTGTGTCCACCACAGAGGCTTCCCACGACACCCCCACCGGGGCTTCGAGACCATCACAGTGACCCGCCGTGGCTGGGTGGACCACACTGACTCTCAGCGAGGAAGTGCGATTCGACCTGAGACCATTTCATGTTGGTTCAAACCCAGGTTTGGTCAATCCATCTATCTTTGGTGCTGATTTGTTGTTTTTATCTTATCTTATCTATCCATGTATACATCTGAAAATGCGGCTCCGACAAACTGGTGGTTTTCCTTTTTGTTGTCCCTTTACAGCCACGCAAAGCACGCGGTCCTTAAACACGTCACACCCATACCTGTATCTGACTGTGTACTTATACATATGTATATATAGATATATGTACGTTGATGCATTTTGCTGTTTCGTCAAACTGGCAACATAATGTGGTTGCTTTCACCTCCCAGTCCCATTCGCAAAAGGTACCCCGCACTGGTGCTGCGCAAAAGGATGCTGTGCAACATATTCCCTGGTCCTCACTGTTTTGCTTCTGAGAGCAAGCTATAGGAGGAAACATGAGACTCTGCTCTCCATGACGCTTAAAAAATGGGGCCATGACCCCTGAATTTTGGGTAACGACCAACCATTTTTTAAGGGTCAGCAGGAGACTCAGGGAAGAATCTATCACTGCTGGATTTTTTTTCCAGGGTTCTTAACCAAAAGGAAGTTCTTTTGAGTTTGGCAGCCTTTTTGGGCTGGTTTCAACAGAAGCCCAAAAGAAGCCCATCTTGGTCCCCGAGCTAGGTGCCCGTTCTCACCCCTTTTTTGGGGGAGGCTTCCCCTACCACAATAGACTACAGAAGAAAGATCGGGTACCAACGTATTCTAAGCTCTCAGAACAGGAGGACCTAGCCATCCATGTGGGGGTCGTCTGCCTTTCCCCCGGCTGAGGACTCGCTGGGCAACGCGGGCCGCTTCGGGGGCGGGGACGTGCAGTGGATGACCGCAGGCGTCTTGGGGGATGGTTGGTCGGGGAAAACTGGTCCTATCCCTTCCCCCACCCCAAAAACAAGAAGAAGAAAAAACCTAAATGGCCATGGGTCAAAATCCTTGGCCAAAGTATGGGGTCAACATTTATTCTAGGGGTTGATTCCTTTTCCCCCTAAGGGTCCCGACTGTTTTGGGCCCTGCAAATGGGTTGTTTTTTGAGGGCTTGTGAGGAATTGGTGGGGGTTCTCCATTGGAGGGTCCGGGGGTCTGCATTGGAGGGGTCATGACCCTTAGGTCCTATCCTCTCCCCCCAAAAAACACCTAAAACTCTAGGGGGTTGATTCCCAATTTTTCAGGGGAAACGCCACCTGCCAATTCTACGGCCTTTTTTCGACGGCCAGTGAGCTGGGATGAAGGGTTGACTGCAGGGCTACAAGACAAAAAGCGAGGCAGGATTTTGATGTTTCCTGAAAAGATGGATCCCTGGAAAGAATGGAAATGGAAGGTACCCCTAGAACAGCAGGGTTCCCGAACTTCCATACAAAATAAATAAATAAATAAAATCCGAACCCGAAGAAAGCTCTACAGCAAAAACAAGGGCCCGGAAAGGTCACGTTT